ATCATAACACCTCGCTAAGGATCAGTTTCATCTTTAAAATAAGTATAAAACACATACACTCACATTTCTTTTCACCATTAGAGTCTTAAAAATCACACAGGTTAATATAATATCTAATATTTAATGTTACAGTTTGCAAAGCAATTGCATATAAATTATCTCACTTTAATCCTTAAAAATTATATGTGAGGTTGATATTATTCCTATTTTTCTACTACTTATTTTCCACTAGATTTCAAGTTTCATGGGAGCCTGAATTTTGTCTTCCTGTTCATCATTGTATTCCCAGAATTTAATGTTAATGTACCACATGAGACATTGTAGGCACTTAAAATTAAACAAAAATTTTAAACTAAGGTTCAGAGATATTGTAACTAACTGAAGCTGGGACACAAGGGAAAAGCTTTTTTTACTGGGCTTATTATAGCATAAAATAATATTATGACTAATGCCTGACATAGAAACTAGAAAGTAAAAATATCTTATTTAATGAGTCCCAAACAGATTTGGATAATCTACAACAAAACGGCAAGTAGATAGTGCTACAGGATCTATTAAAGCTCTCTCATGATATCACTTTGGGTATTATACATTGAAAAAAATAAGTTTATTCAGAGATTTTCCCCTTTCAAATATATTAAGAAGACATAGTTCTCAAGCTTAACAAAGGCTATCACTTTTAAGAGTACCTTGAAAGTTCAGAATATTATTAAAAACAAATACGTTGTACTACCTTTTGGAGAGAATGGATAGAGATGAACAGAAAGTCTGAAAGCAGAGGCTGAGTGGAGAAATCAGCATCCATGGGAAACGTCCTTAAATAAGTAATTGGAAAGCAACAGTTCTTTTAACACAACAGGGGAAAATTGCCTGAGGAGTTTTAATTTTAAAGCTAAAAGTGACCTGTGAATAATGTAAGAATAATCTGTTTGTAAATAATCTAGAGCTAGGGCTTGTTTTGTGAGGTATCTTGAGAGAAAGAGGAGGAAAGCAGTATAATAGTTAGTGGTTATTGTACTAGATGAGTAAGAGTTAACATTTTATGTTCAAATATTATTTTCAAAAATCTTAATATAGAGCTTTTTCTGCTTATTTCACCTCTTACCTACCAACATATCTAACTTATAGAAATATATTAATGAGTAGCTATATTCTTTAAAAAAAAAAAAAGTACATTTATATAGCGTGTTACCATTATTTCCCTTCTCAAGTTATACTCCTCCAGGGTTAGCCAAACTACAGCAGCGCTTTTGTCCCCCTAGTGGAAATGCCTGGAATTGCAGGAATAGTTTAAAGAGGCGCAAACCTCTAATACTTTACTTAACTGAAGAAAACCCAGATCTCCATTCATATGTTCAACAAACACTTATTAGGCAGTAAAAACCATGAGCTGCTATAACATAAAGATGAACTTCAGTGACAGCAAAGTTTCAAAATACTTAGGATTATACTATACACTGGTGTGGCAAAGGGCTCAAATGAAACTGAAGTATCTAGCAATATTTAAATTATTGAATTCAAATTATAACAATCTAATTAATGTTTGTTCTGGTTGCACATTTATTAGCACCATGATGTATTATCAGCACCATATGTATTATAACAGGATGCCAGCTCATGAGAGAATAATTTACCCTAATATATATCTCATGGAAATCATTTGTTTACTCCTTACTGTGCTAAAGTCCTGATAATTTGTTGGGCCAGTTTGAGTACCTGTTGCAACTGATAGCTGTCAAAAAAAATTTTTAAGTAAAAAAAAAAAATTATGTGTTCTGATGAGTGATTTAATACAGAATGTTCACTATTCACTTTTCTTGGATGCTGCTTAATTTCACCACACCTCAGGAGAAGAAAAACCTAAATTTCATTTTATTTTGTAACAGCATAATCTAAAACACTCTCACCTGTGAACTGAAATTCCTCCTTTAAAACCTGTTGAAAACTATGACTTTGCTGACTAGTTCAAAACAGTTGCAAAACAGTCTATAATTTAGGGCCTCAGCAAATTTAATTCTGTGGCCCAAGGCCACAGAAGTTGCTGTCATAGGCTCTGGAGGCAGGTTGTAAGGGAACTAGTGGATGCATGAAAGTCTTTTAAAAATATATGTTAACTTTTGTTTGTTTCTGTTTCACTCAGGGTTACCTAATGAGCCAAGATCCCATGCACAAAACTTCATCTCTTGATTAGACTATAAACACTTGATTCAGAGGTGCTTTTCTCTCTTTGGACTTACCTTTAGTCTTGAAATAGAAAGCACTGATGTCCATCTCTATGTGTAACCTGCTTCCTGACTTAGGAAATGAAATCCACTTTCCAACTAGTCTATTTAAACAGCTCCAGGAAAAGTCATCCATTAAGAACAGAGCTGGATGCAACAGCAAAGACCTGGAACCAACCCAAATGCCCATCAAGGATAGACTGGATAAAAAAAATCTGGTACATATGCACCACAGAATACTATGCAGCCATAAAAAAGGATGAGTTCATGTCCTTTGCAGGGACATGGATGAATCTGGAAACCATTATTCTCATTGAACTGACACAAGAACAGAAAACCAAACACTGCATGTTCTCACTCATAGGTGGATGTTGAACAATGAGAACACATGGACTCAGGGAGGGAAACGTAACACACTGGGGTCTGTTGTGGGGTGGGGGGCTAAGGGAGGGATAGCCAGGAGGTGGGGAGGTTGGGGAGGGATAACATTGGGAGAAATGCCTGGTGTAGGTGACGGGGGGATGGAGGTAACAAGCTACCATGGCATGTGTGTACCTATGCAACAATCCTTCAAGTTCTGCACATGTACCCCAGAACTTATAGTACAAAAAATAAAATAAAATTGAAAAAAAAAGAAAATAGCTGGAGATACAAAAAAGATTCAGATCCATATCAACCCATTTAGGGTTTTTAGTTTTTATTCAAACATTTACTGAGCATATTCCAGGTACCAGATCGTTGTACAGTTCTTGAAATACAATGAAGATAAAAAGTACACTCAAAGAGCTTATGGTCTAGCAGCCTAAAGACTGAACTGTATTCTTTCTGAGCTTATGAACACAGCCCTCAGATCTCTCCAGAGCTGCCCTGTGAGGCTCGCTTTCTAAGTGATACTTTGTCTGGCTTCCAAAGACCATATTTAAAAAAAGCCCTTCAACAAGTGGGAGAGGCTTGCTCTGGAGAAGGATTTTATGCATTCCATCCTATTGTAGCTCTCTCTCTAAAACAAGAAAGAAAGAGGACATATTACAAAGGAAGCATGTGAACACTTGAACAGGAAATGTCATAGAGAAAACTCACTCAGCAAGACAGACAGGGGAAGAAGGGCTTTGCTTAATTGTTCTCTCAAAGCAAAGGTATCCCACTTTCAGAACCAATTTTGTCTTTCAATGGAATACTCAGGAATATGTAATCTTAGATGAATTCATATTCCTCCTTTCCTCTATCTTTTATTTCCATTAAACATGTTTTGGAGGGATAACAACAACTTTAATAGGAATTTTTAGGAATCTCCCTTCTATATTTGCACATTTGGCTCTGAACTTTCTCTGGAACTGCCTTCTACATAACATACTCCCTATTTGTTACTTAGATGTTCTTGTTTCTTCAAACAAAACATAGAGGTAAAGAAGTTTGGTCACCAGAGCAAAGAAGCTCTTTACAAAAGGGCCAAACACCACATTATCTTGAAACTGAAAACATCCAAACCTTTTCCTAACTTTTCCTGAAGTTAACCCTCTTTTGAGCCTAAATTTCTGGAAAGTGAATGAGGACTGAAGGAATCAGGGTTGGCAAGAAAAATGTCTCTCCCTCTGAAGCTTCTGGCTGCATATTCTGAAAAGACAGGGCATTTGAAGAAAAAGCATAATCAACCCGTCAGAAACATTTTGATTTCACTTAAATACCAGGCAAACTGACAACCACTTTTCCCACAACTGAGAAGAATCTCCTAACATGAGAGGCACTTGAAGACGTGTTAAAATTTTTACAGCCATTAACACATTCCTAAGAAAAATACTGCTGGGGACACAAGAAAGCCAAGGATAACAATTTTCTCTTTCCAATGAAAATGTTTAGTCTGTTTGATTAAAGGAAGATAAATGAAAGGGCAAGGGCAAACTCACCTCACATTCTGTGCCACAGTTTGATTTGCCTTGAGACCAAATTGTCTAGCTTAGGAAAAATGTAGTCTGTCTTCAAGCCCCTGTATTCCTGGAGCAAAGAATCTGATGAGGAAGCACTTAGCATTCAGCACATCTCAGCTGGCTCTGAAGGGCCTGAATTCTCTGGCAACATTGACCTGGGATAAGTGGAAAGGAGAAGGCAGGGCATAGCCATCAATTTATGTTTCCTCCTTCTCCTTATCCCTATTATAAGAGATTCAAAGACAGCTGCAGAGAGCCCTCCAAGAACAAAATCCTCTGGCCCAGGTGACCTGGGCTCTGGTCCCAGCTCTGCAATAACTGTGACCTTGAAAATCTCTTTGTTGTCACTAAGCTTCAGTTTTCTCTTCTATTAAATTAGGGGGTTGGTCTAAAACAGTATTTTCACACTGTGAGTTGGAGCCATTTGTGGGACATAAAGTCAGTTTAGTCTGTTGCAACATGCAATGTTTGGAAAGGAAGAGGAGAAGGGATAAGGTAGGGAACAGGATGGAATAGGACGGAATGGGATGGGATGGGATGGGATGGACCACAGGATAAGATAAATGAGGACAAGCTAGGATAGAAAGTATCACATTGCTTCCTTTTTTTTAATTGGTGTTGTTCACAGAAGCCAGCATTTGTTGATGTTTTCACAACTTCCCCACGTCTGTCAGGCTTCTTGATCTCACTTCTTCTAAAAGAAAGCCCAGCCAAGGTGGTATAAGCTGTAGACAGTGCCACTCAGACAGAGGTCTACAGTCCATCATATAGGATATTGTCAGTCATCCTGCCCTTTAAGTGTACTGTGAGGTCATTGTCCACCTAAATTCATCAGGGAAGACCTGGTGTGGGTGTATGGGTACCTGATGAGAAAGGGGTCCTGGTTCTTCCTTATAGCTTATCTCCTGCCTACCCTGGCTGGGCTCTGACCCACCCAGCAGGCTGGGGTCCTCTTCTGTATGGTATATTCTTTTCTGAGACTTTGTTTCACTTAATTAGGTATGTGTATATGTTTTTGTGTGTATTCCCATCTTTGTGTGTGCATGTGTATGTCTTAAAATGTAGTTCTATGTATTGTATCTAGAGAAATATTTGATAAACACTGGATTAAATGACGTCTCAGATTTCTTCTAGCTCTAGCCATGTGGAATTTGGTAAACTATGTAGGCACCATTCTGATCAGCCTATACTCTGGGTCCATTCCAGGTCTCAGCACACTACACTACTGAATATGAATCTATCTTATGTGATTTGAAGCCATTGAAAGTTTGTGTACATTAATATTCATGTATTGATGTGCAGGCGTATTTGTGTTTTTATCTCACCTAACACACTGCCAGCACTGAAGTACAATGTGACTGACTACAGCAAAACAAAAAAGCAGTGTAGATCAATGATCTTCAACATTGAATAAATTAGTTCCCAGAGAAGCCAGGGGCTAGGTTTGAGCGCCTGGGACTAAGTCTGCTTGATGCACAAAAGGAATAAGTGAGGGGACATGTATTGCTGTAGTCTGGTACCCACAAAAAATGCTCCTTTGTGAATACACCGCTGTGAAAATAGTTGTTTATAGAACTGAGCTATGTGGTCTTGTGACTTGAAAACACTTGAAACAAGAATATAATTGCTACACAGTCTTTTCAAAATTCCTGTTTTACTCACTGTTTTATTCCTTAGGCATAGCACTGTGCCCAAGACACAGTAGACACAATAAGATAGCAGTTGGAGTCTTAACGTTACTTTGCTAACCTGGGGGAAATCTTCTATTTCTGTAGGCTGGCCCTTGGTTCCTTCTAATTAATTAAGGACAGGAACGACTATGATATTCACCCCATTAGCCAGAACCTAGTCATATTACACCAACCTAACATAAGGACGTTCATATCCATAAAATAAAGATGGATATTTAGTGAGTACTAATAGTCTCTGTTAATATGATCACTCCCTCCCTCCTTGAAACACTTTGTTAACTTACCTTTCAGAATACAGCACTTAGTTTTCCTTTGATCTCATTGGCATGTCCTTCTAGGTATCCCTTCTGATTCCTTTTGCTCTGTTCACTCTATTTCTTTGCTCAACATGAAGTTCAGTGACAGATCTTTAAAATAACAGGTTTCCCTTTGCTGAAATTATAAAGTACAGTTGTCCAATATTTTAGTTCTGCATATTTTGTAACACCATAAAATATATGGTATTATTTTATTTTATACAATGTTTAGATTTCTGTTTATCATTTACATTCTCACTGTTTTTGTATCTAGACCATCTTCTGAGATCAGTCTCCTTTTTCTTGAAATGTATGCTTCATGAGCTCCTGTGGAGTGGATTCTTTGGTAGTAAATTCTCTAGAATTTTTGTAAGTTCTCTTGCATCTGTAAAAGACTGTATTTTGCCCTCATTCTTCAAAGATATTTTTGTGTTTTGTTTTTGGGGAGGAGGAGGACAAGATTACAGTTTGACAGTTACCTATCAGCATTTTAAAAACATTGTTCCATCGTCTTTTGGCTTCCATTTTTCACTGTGGAGAACACTGCTGTCATTGTAACTGTTGTTCCTGTGTAGATGATCTACCCTTTCTCTCTGGCTACTTCCTGTATTTTCTCCTTGTCTTAATATTCTGAAAATGTATTATAATGCTTTTAAGATGAATTTCTTTTTCTTTGTCCTGCTGGAGCTCTGTTGTGCTCCTTGAAAATGTGTAGTCATATTTTTATCAGTTTTGGAAAATTAACATCTGCTATTTTGTTATATATTGCCTCTCCTCCATCTCTCAAATCTCTTTTTACAAACTTTTATTGAACATATGAAAGAGCTATTTTTATCTTCTATATCTTTCAATGTTGATACATTTTATTTCATCATCTCTGCAACATTCTATATAGATTTTTTCAGATTATTTTTCAGCTCAGTAACTTGCTTTAATTTTGTTTAATATGTTATTTTTACCTATTCATTAAGTTTTTTGAATTACAACAGTTGCAGTTCTTTATTTCTAGAAGCTCAGTTGTTTTTTTAAAACAAAAAAATGACCATATTTACTTGTCTTTTATTGTTTGGTCATCTTTTAATTGCATCCTTTATTTGGTTAAATGTTTCAAACTTACCAGTTCATAGAGGCTCAAATCTATTGTTTATTCTTTCTATTGACTGTCCTTCACATGGCCTACCTTCTAGTGTAGTTAGTAATTTCTGTATATGAACTCATGGCTTGATATTTTTTTGTGAAAGTCCTAGAGCCTTAAATTGAGGAAACACTCCTCCAAAGTTTTCTTCTGCCGCTGCTGGTGATCAGTGGGTACTCATAACCCATATCTACTTCAGTCCTCCAGAAGAGTTTAACCAAAGACCCAGAGTCAACTTCCTCTCACTAATAGTTCCAATGCTTACTATCTTCATAACAGTGTTCTATAGTAACACAGCCCAAAAGCTATGAGAATTTATCCCTCCAGCCTACCTGCAGGATCTGGTATACTCCCTACTGCTCTTTTGCCCTACTGCTCCAGCTCTCCTATTGTTCTGGCCTTATTCTCTCACCTCTGCTTCCTTGATCGCAGCCACCCAATGTCAGCCTGACTCCACTTGAGGTTACGGGCTGCCCTAAACCAAACATAGGGGTGCTCAGGCCATGTGCTTCAGGGGAGGCAAACAAAGTAGAACACAAGGAAAAATGCATTGAATTGGACAAAGAGCAACTTCCTCTGCCTGAAATATTCTCCATCCCCATTCCATTTCTGACTCTTATCTATTTGGAAAGCACTCAGCTGTCTTTTAAAATACAACTTAAACATCACTTCTAGGAGGCCTCTGATGACCATGTCCTACTTATACCCCTACTTGCCACAATAGGCTTTAAGACTGACTCTGACTCCCTCCTTGCTCCTAGGTGATTATTATTTCTTCTGCTGCTGCTGCTTCTGCTTCCCCCTCCTCCTCTTCTTCTCCTCCTCCTACTCCTCCTCTTTCTTCTTCCTCCTCCTTCTTCTTCTTCTCCTTCTTTTTCTTTTAATTATTTCTAATTCTTGGAAACAGTAAAGAAAAATGCCTAAATACTAATAACAAATTTTTGATACTGTTCTCATGTGCAACAAAATTGCCAATATTATATTGAAAAGCAATAATCGGGAAGGTTTATTTCTGATCAATTCATTATTTCACTGAATATGCACTCACTTTTTTAAAGTTAACAAGACTTTTTTCCAGCTTTATTGGGATATAATTGACAAGTAGAAATTGTATATATTTAAGTTGTACAACTTGATGTTTTTATACACACACACACACACACACACACACATAAGGTGAAATGATAAATGATGACAAAAATCAAACTAGTTTGATTTATATTCAACAAAATTGTTTTTAACCCAATTACCACTTACTCCTTTGTGAGCCCACTGGGTTCTACATGTGTTTTTATATAGCTTCTTCGAAATTTTATTTCTGTACTGTTTCCTAGACTACCAAACTGTCAGTTTCTTGGAGGTAGTAACCACTTACTTCTCTTCCTAGCAGACAGAGGAATACCTCATATTTATTATTCACTTAATATGGTTAAAGTAATGAATGAAAAGCAACTAGAAAAATATTAATAACATTTAGTCTAAGTAAAGTATGCTAGCTTCTGTCTTTGTAAGCAAGTAGGTATATGTTTTGTATACAACCGTTTATGGTTTTTTAAAATCGGGTGCATCTGTTAATGTTGGATAATTGCTTGTATATAAAAGTTCTTTGGTCTGTTGCAAAAATGATGATTATGAAATCTAAAAGCATAATTGTATGTATAGCTCACAGTTTTTACAAAAGAGAGGACTCAAGGGAAAAAAATAGTTGGTTTCTACTTCATTCAGTTTGCCCTCTCTGGAATCACATTCCACATTTGGTTTGCCCCCAAACTCTACCAAAGAGCCTAGAGAACTTCATTTCAATTTTTTATGTCTAATGCCACCCAAACTTTTTAACAGAAATCCCACTGGTCAGTGGGTATACTTAACGTAGTGATGCTGTGCTATGTAAGATATGTAAGTGCTGATTATGTGCCAGGCACCATTGTAAGTGCTTTACATTTATGAGATGATTTAACCTTACAATATCTCTACAAAGTAGGTACTATTATTATCCTCTTTTTACAGATAAGGAAACTGAGGCTTAGAGGAGTTGTGAAACTGCCCACAGTTTCACAGCTAAAATGTATAAGGACCTGGACTTTCAAATTTGGCACAAAGTCCTTCTTATAAGAAGGCCATAAAATGACCAAATAATTTTTTATATGCCTATAGAACCAAAAGAACTATTTCAGAATATCAGCTGAAAACCACAATATTCCAGACAGGTAAGAAAGTGAAATCTCAGGAGAATTAAAGTTCTGTGGACTATCAACTTTCCTCAATTTTACTTCTCTTCTGAGGGCTTCTTTAGTCCTAGTATAGAAAAGCTGGAAGAATCCACAGGAAGTTCAAGACAAAGTCAACATCTCCTGTTGAAAGTCAGGGTGAAATCACATATCTTACATATTATTAATTCTTCCCACAGAGGTATTTTAGAATAAGTCCTGTGTGATTGCATGGTGAATAGCACCTTGTTTACCCCAATGGGAAATGAGTTGGAGCATCCAACCCTCACACCCACAGTTTAAATTCTTTGTCTTCATAAAGTCATAAAACATGTGCTATGGTTTGAATCTGCCCAGAAGCTGTCTATATGCTGTACATGTGTGTTTGTGGCTAACTTCCTCTTGTTAACTTTTTAAAATCATAAGTAGTAGTTTCATTGTGCATAGTGCAATAGCCATTAACATAATTGCAGATATGCTTCAGGATTTTCAAGATGAACTGCTCTATTTTCATTCAATTGGACAATAGCTTCCGCATTCTGGATAACACTCTGCCTCACAATAGATTTGTGTGAAAGGAAAGAGAAAAGAGGCAGAGTAGAGATAGGAACACTTTCAGGGTATTCAAATACCATTGATGTATGCTGTGTGTGTACACAGTATTCAAATACCATTGATGTACGTTGTGTACATATAGATATACCTATATGCATACATACACTAAGTTTGCATTTAACTAAATACAATCATTGTAATTGCTATCATTATATTGTCTTGTCCCCTTCTTTCCTCAACTAGTATAAACATAAAATGCTTGATATCTATCAGGTTGATTGGAAAGGGCTCTATGGTTGACAACACATATTCATGCACTTTCATATGCTGTGGACTTACTCTATTGAATAATCAATTTTGGAATATAATAGTATAAAAATCAACACATAACAACAAGTGTGAAAAACGCCTGGTAATAGCCTGTGTTGCTGAATTTCTGTCTTGGCCAAAATTTATAGTCAAAATGAAGAGGCCATAAAAGAAATGTTTTTGGATCTCAGACACACATCATGAGAGAGGGAGGAAGAGCAAGCAGTCTTTAGACAAGACAAAAAGTAATGAAAAAATATCTCTAGTTCAACAGTATTTGGGGGAGTTAAGCCTGAGAAACATTTCTGATGGACTAGCAGTTGGGATGCCAAGCAATCAACAAGGGGTAATCTGGGGAGGCCGTTTTATCCTTCATTCCATTGGAGGCAAATCGTGTTGATGTATAAATGTACCTCCTGGTTTCCAATTGTTCTCACTCAGCAATGAGGCATGAAGCCTGAGAAACCACAGATATTTGGATAGAAGAAGGTATTTTATTTCCCCTCTCCAGGGCTGTGGAGTGGAAAATACACAAGGGCACTTTATCTTAGTTCTGTGTGTTCTCATAAACCTATAACCCTCTCCCTCTGAGCTTCATGCTCTTTAACTTGATCTGTACATAATTCTATTACCTAAAGTGCCCCAGTATACACATCCTAGACCAGGTGGAAGATGGGGTCTCTTTCTTCCTCACAGATTGCAAACATTTCCCTTCTAGCCTTTGAGGTGCCAAAAACAGACTATCTTAAAGTGAAGCAGCAGTGTAGTTAGACTTTAGCCTCCGTATACTTTAATTTTCTTATTGAAAAGGAGAAAAATGGTTCTTCCCTTGACACACAAACACACACACCCACACACACACACCTTTTTCCCCAAAATCTCCATATCATTTTAATTCCTTAATTCCCAAGACTGAATCAATCCCAATCTCTTCCATCAGGGAAAAAGCAAGAGAGCAATGAATTCAGGGCTTCCTGGAGTGGTTTTTACTTTCCCAAATCCTTAGAGACTTCCCTCTACAATTTTTTTCCAGGCTGTACTTGGAAGCTGTAACAGATCCAGAGGCCATTTTAGAACCTCATTTATATTGTCCTGACACTTAGGAATCCAGTTTCTGTTATAAGGATGTCATCAAAGTTGGTGGGCTCAAAATATGACCTACTTTTAAAAACCCATCTGTTAGGAGCCTATAGATTTTCTTGGTTTGTTTCTGACTGTCTACAGAAAGGGCAACAGCATCATTCTCATTTTCCAAGCCTACCTCCCAAATAGCAATAAACTAAATGCTCACCAGGAAGGAGCTGAATGCCTTTCAAATAGGCAGCAGGCAAAAAGCAAGCAAACAAACAAATAAACAACAGTGATACTCCTTAATCCAGAGAAAGAAGGATGGGAGCAGAAAGTACTGCTCAGTTTAATTTATGCACATCTATGCTATTTTCCTTTAAAAATCTTACTCTTGACAAAACAGAACCAGTTAGCTTGCCACACCTTTGCCGCTGTGGGGTCATGATGTTATGATTCTGTATAACAATGAGGCTCCTTATACTACACATCTAACAAAGAGGGATTTGGGAACTGCAAGTTGAAGCTCATAAACTCTTTAATATAAATCACTATTGCCTTTGGATTGGTAAACTGATCTTCAATGTACCTAGATTAGAATAAGGCTGCAAATAGGGAGGGTGGAAAGAGAGAGAAAGGAAGGAGAGAAATGGTGGGCAACAGGGAAAGTGGAAAAGAAGAATAAGAATATATACTAGCTATTCGGCCAAATTATTTATCTACCTAAAATTCACATTGAACATTTTTTATCATTTAATTTTACATCATGCTGAGTCCAACCAAGTTTTGGTTACTGAGTGACTGATTCAGAAGTATATTGTAATATGATTCAGGATCCTATTTTAGGGTCTTTTAATTAAAGCCCAGTCTCCTCATGTCCATGCCCCTCACCTCCAATTCTGTAAAGAATCTTCTTTCCCTATTACTGACCCTGCACTTCACTCTACTCTTGACAACTTTATGCTCAAAACCTGTCAGTGGCTCTGCCTGGCCTACTGGAAAAGTTCTGAGTTCATAGTCTGATATATAAGGCCCTCTACCATCTGACTCATAGTCTGATATATAAGGCCCTCTACCATCTGACTCAAATCTTTAATTTTAAACTTAGATTTACTATGCCTTGACTTGAATGTTCATAAAATAGCTCTTCTACTTCCAGAATTATAGCTGTAATTTAAATGAAAAGAATAAAACAGGAGAGGAATAAGAAGTAAAAGGTAGATTCTGTACTAGGAAAGCAAACATTTTTCAACAAATCCCTAAAACACACTAATTTATATCTTATTGGCCTGAAGTGTTCACATAGTAACACATAGCTGCAAGGAAGTGGGAACAAATAATTTCCCAAAGAAAACTGAGGTTCTCATAGTAAGAAAGAAAGGAAGAATGGTTATTGGGTAAAGAAACTGCAATGTGTACCCAAAAACCCAAAGCCAGTAGTGAAAAGAGGTTACAAGATATTTCGGTAACATAAATTAGACAAATACATCTGTTGTGCAGGGCTAAGCTCTACATAGCAGCCTATTAATTTACACAGGCTTTGGTTATAACAAGTCAACTCTAGCAGATGGGATATAAAATATCCCAAATTATTACATCTGTATATAAATATTTTTATAATTATTTTGCTCTCCTTTCTGAGTTCTGAGACCAAGCCATGAATTGCTAACAAACAGAATGTGATGCAACAAGTCAATTATTACAACATTGACAACTTAACTATTATTTTGAATTAAAAGATCTTAGTCCCAGGATAATAATAAATATAAAATTATCCAATATTTTAGCAAACAGCTTGAGCACAGACACATTAAGGTGGCTGATATTTTTGTGCTGAATCAAGCAAAAATTACATAAATATTTACACAGCCTCATAGCCGGAAGGGAATGAATCATGATTAAAATAAATCAGTCTCTTGGCCAGGCATGGTGGCTTATGTCTGTAATCCCAGCACTTTGGGAGGTTGAGGCAGGTGGATCTTCTGAGGTCAGGAATTTGAGACCAGCCTGGCCAACATGATGAAGTCCCATCTCTACTAAAAATACAAAATTTAGCAGGGCATAATGGCGGGTACCTGTAATCCCAGCTACCAGGGAGGCTGAGGCAGAAGAATTGCTTGAACCCAAGAGTCAGAGGTTGCAGTGACCCAAGATTATGTCACTGCACTCCAGCCTGGGTGATAGCATAAGATTCTGTCTCAAAAGAAATAAATAAAATTTTTTTAAAAAATTAAAAACAGTCTCTATAAGAGAATTTGCATTACAATTGAAAATAAGTGCAAGAATGACACATATACTTGTGCTATACACACATGCAAGTATGTTAATTACTTTAAGATAGGTCAAGTCTAGAAGTGAGGATGGGCAAGAGTAATTATCTTTGTGATCTAGCCTGTAAGCCTGTAGTGAGCCACATTCTTTATGTTTAAGAACTTTGACTGGTACATAATGCTGAACTGTTGGCTAGAAAATAAAATGGAGTTGTATCATAACCACACTGAACTATGGTGGAAGTCTTCCTTAAAGGAACCATGGAGAAGTCACTCCTGGGCTTTGCACCAACAGAGAAACTTCCTATCCTTCTTCCACTATGTTACCAGTGTCTGCTGATTCGGGTTGGTCTTCTCACTTTTTGATACTCTTTTTGGCTTCCACACTATCTTTGCTTTTAAAATGCATCCTCCTAAAGGTCTGTGTTCTCTGCTTTAATTTCAGCAAGCTTCTAAGCCAACAACTAAGTGTTCCATTCCCAAATCTGAAAAAACCCAGGCACAGTCCAAGAACTTAGCCTTCCAAGGTATACTTTGCAATTGACTCGCTGTGTAGGCGTCAGGCAATTAATCTCTCTCCTTCTATTCATTCATTTCTGAATAGTAATAATAGCCATCCTCACAGCACTGTTTTCTTTGTCATTAAATATTTACTAAGCATCCACTGCATAACACAAACTTGGAGCTATACAGGCTAAACCAGTTAGATGGTGTTCTTGGCTTCAAAGAGCTTTTATGATACAAAAGACAGGCAGAGGCTGGGCACATAAGTACAGGTTAAGAACATGCAAACTTATGTGTGTGCATGTGTGTGTGTGCCAAAGAACAAAGGCTGGAACCGAAGCCCATTTGCTATTTTTTTGACTACATGTGTTTGCCTTGATTTTAGGTTATCTTTGGCCATGAATAAATGGAAATATATTTGAATTTCAAAAACACTGAACTTCATACTAGAGAATAACCAGATTCTGCTTCTTTTTCTGTTTTTACAAAGGGCGTACACCAGCATATGCCTAAAGGTACTCACATAGCAGGTACACAATATGACCCCCACAGAAGAATTATGAGCAATCAAAATTCATAGTACCAATGAGACTGGCCAATGAGATCACAGCATGCAATGGGACAGGCTGGAGTTAATTAAGTGCATAATATTACTACAACATTATTCTTTATGATAGAGGTCAACATAAGGCTGAATTGCAATGTTTATTTCTGTTAAGAAAATACTTTCTCTGGACAGAAGAGGGCATTTAAAGAAATGGGAACCAAGAAGGTATAGAATGGAAATTATGCTGCGTTAATATGTCTCCAGCTATGAAGCCCCAGCAGTTCCCATTAACCTTGTGTCAATCTGTATTATTAAGAGACAGTCAATTATGCGAGGTACATTATAATTTTTTTAAGCCAGCAATAGTTGGAGGTTGTCATCTGGGACCTAGCTGTGTTTCCCTTGTTTGCTTAATCTAGGCTTTCGGTCTTTCTGAAAGATGAAAGTCTGCCATTTTAGCCTCAATGCCTCATAGTACGTATGTTAAACTCAACACTGCCTCATTATTTATTAATGTCAATTTATTATACTTCAGTAGAGGATGGAGGCCGAAGCCACAACAGTGACAGATGTTCCAGAAGATCAGCTTATATAATGAGAAGTTGGGCCAAATCTGTTGAAAGCAGTGTTTTTTAAAAAAACACACTGACTTCAAAGAAATGAGTTGTGGCATCTGTAACATCTACAGGAGCAGCGCCAATGGAGGCAAGCGGGTTTGCAGAGGAGCAGCTCAAGTCATGCGATTATTGGAGCTTGCAGCAAAATGACTGGAACAACATCTGGGCTGCAGCAAGCTGGCCAGGACATTTTAAAAGAGCTCCTGTGGTGCCTCCAACTTTGATTTTACAGAGCTGCAGGGAAAGAAACAGGCTGTGTTCAAGAGCTCATGTGTTTTGGCTCACATGTTTTGTCCTTGGTCAGCGTGAAGGGCCTCACTCAGCTGGGGACTCTGAGGGACACTCTTGAACAGTCACTCTCTGTCTACTCTGCTATCTCTGTAGGTTTGTGCTAGGGTCTGGGCAGGCAATCCCTGCAAAGGGTATAAAATAAGAAATATCTCTCACCAATCCTTGAAATTTACACTTATTCTTTCTCAGCAAGAAACTCTCATGGGATGCATTTGTGCAAGAACTTGACACTGATCAGTTAGTTAGTTTGGGATAATATACCAGTTGGAAACTAAATAGGGTGTGTGTGTGTGTGTGTGTGTGTGTGTGCGTGTGTGTGTGTGTGTGTATGCATGGTGAGGTGAGGAAATCATGTCCTACAACTGAGAATTAAGAATATTCATTCCCAGTACCCCAGTATGACTCTCAGTATCACAGTGTTTAAAAACACTTTTTCCCTGTCCTCTCTAGAATATCCATTTAATTAACAAATATTATTGTGAAACTACCATGTATATGACATATAGTAGAGAGGATCCTGGACAGGGGGCACCTGGGACTGAATCCCAGCCTTGTAGCCCACCAGTTTCATGAGCTTCTAATACTGAGATGCTTTGGAAAACTTTTATAAGGTGCTTTGGAAACCCTGAAGTTCCATAACATAGCACAGCTGGTCGGACAGCAGAATGATGAAAAGCATGGTACCTGGAGCCAGAATCCTTGGGTGCAAATCTTGACTTTGACAATTACAGGCTGAGCGATCTTGGTTACATTATTTAATCTCTCTTTATTACTCAGTGTCCATGTCTGTAAGATGGGGTGATAATAAGAGCATATATTGCAGAGTCTTGTTAGGAGCAAATGTGTTAATATATAAGATACTTTTAGAATTTTACTTTGCACATGCGAAACATTATTAAGTATTTGCTCCTTTAAAACTCTCTCTCTCTCTCTCTCTCTCTCCCCCTCTCCTGCCCCCATTCCTTCCCCAAAAGCCCATAGTGGCACATGTGTCAGAGCCCTTAGTGGAGGCCTTAGTCAACTCACAACCTCAGATCAGATATAGGGAGGGATATGGGAGCAGAAATGGCCTAAGCCAGCAAGAAGGAGAATAAGAAAACTCAGTTCTTTCTTTTTCCTCATTTCAAGTTATAGATGCTCAATGGCATTTGCAAATGCCTACCCAAATATTCCAACAACAAAAGGAATTTAAAAATAATTTTAATATGATTATAATCTTCATGAGATACTGCATTTAATTCCATCTCCAAAAGTGACACTCATGCTGATAAAATATTTTAGTTTCATGTGCCTCAAGAACTAACAGAATCATCTCAATGTAGAGGCCCCATAAATTATCACTTTGGGAAAATAATTTTTTTTCTTTTTATAAATTCAGTAACAGCAGAAACAGATCATAGTCTCTAGAAGCCACAGCAATAATCTTTCTTATCCAACCTATTTTCACTTTAGGATGAAAAATGGTGATGGGGCCCTGCAGATTTTTCTTGAAGTTTATGATAGGTCAGCTACATAGACAAGAAGTCCAGCCTCCTCTTTGATATCTCCCTTATCCCCCTTATCTAAGCCAATTCAGTGTTACTTTTTATTGGATTTCCATTACTTCAGTGTTTCTCATGGAGCCTCAGTTCCTGTAACTATTGCAGCTGATGGTAGTTTAGTACTTTGAACATCATTAATTAAATCACCGCATCATGCAGGCCAGACATATTTCCATCAAAAGTTGCTATCTTGTCTTCCAGCTTAGATACTTTGGCATGGGGCCTTCCTGGAAAGCTGGATTGCATCTAAAACCCTGTGGCAGAGGGAGAAACCACAGACAAGCCATCCTGAGAAAACTCAGGCTGGGACTAAAGCTCTGCTCTCCAGGGACAAAGTAGCAGGAGACCAGCCATGCTTAGAGACACTCCACTAGCCAGTGCAACATTGTTCTGAGCAATTTCACTTGCTTCCACATGACCTGCCCCACTAACACTTCTATTATAGTGGCAAATAAATCCATACCCAATTTCAACTGCACCTTCTTTCCAAAAGCTATAATGCTAACACACCTGGTGTATTTACTGCTTATTATTAACCAATAATCATTTCCATGGAGTATGAAAGAAATTCCTCTTTTCTCCAACAATCCTCTAAAGGTTGTCTTCATGTGAGAACATATCCTGAGTCACAACCATCAACCATCTATAAAGATAGACTTGTTTTTTTTCTTTGACTGATGAAGTACTATATGGCTACTAAAATGGAGATAAAGAAACAAGTAAAGGATAGGAGCACTTACTCAACACCTATTATGTATCAGTCCTATTCTGTGACTTCTAAGATCTTAACATTCATGTTGTTAACCTAAGGCTAACAAGCTCATAATAGTGGCTGCCGCTTTTAAAGCACTTCAAATGATCCTGCGTTCAATCTCTATATGCTTCTCTTTTCAGTCCTTACCTTCTAAAGCAAAGACACCCTTTCAATTCCAAGTTCCACACAGGTACCAGATATCCCAATGCTCCTACTTCTCATTTTTCTGATAATTCCTAAGTAAGACTACATTTGCTAAAGTATTCAACAGAATAACATTAAGTTCTTCAGTCATAGAGCTATTTCTCTCACTGATACTTCAGAACTATGCTGTCCAGCATGGCAGCCACCAGACACATGGCTACTGAGCACTTGAAGCATGGCTAATGTAGCTGCAGAACTAGAGTTTTTACATTTCACTCAATCTTAATTAACATAAGTTTAAATTTTAAATCGAAAGCAATGTAGAAGATTTTTCTATTAAACACAACTTTATCATTTTGGAAGGCTACACTGAAAATTCACTTACTGTTAGTGTGAAATAGAAACTAGAGCTCAAAGACTAACTACAAAAACAGTAAAATCTTACAAAAATAAGTTTTATGTCAGTTACATATTTGAATAATAATATTTAAGATACATTGGGTTAAATTGATAATTAAAATTAATTTCACTGTTTCTTTTTTTAACGTGACGAGTAAAAATTTTAGATTACATATGTGGCTCATTTTCTATTTCTCTTGGGCAATGATGCTCCAGAAAGAGAATTACAAAGAGAATAGAAAGAGTATTTTCTATAACTAGAATGCAGAGGGTAAATATTAGAGGGGGAAATAATGAAAAAGTACTAATTTAACTCATCTAACTACATTAAAGAAAAATAATTTTATCTGAGACTAAATCATGGAATTAAAATTAACCCTATGAGGGTTAATTTTCCTCATTAAATTAAAAAAATTACATAGCTGCAGACCTTTGAAATATAGTACATTATAAATTATTTAAAATATTTTACAGAATATGTATGCAAAGGCTATCTGATGGAAAGTGAAATGGAAATGAAATCATGTGATATCTAATCTCAGTTTACTTGCTCCATGCTCCACCTCCACTTTGCCTCTCAAACTCAACAAGTCTTTTCTTCCCTAAGAAAAGAGTGGCTTTGCAGATACAGTATCTGCAAAGCCACAGATACAGTATTTGCAGATGGAGAACACATTTAATGTGTTCCTCATTAAATCTGACCTTGAAAAATCCTTCACTGGCCACTTCTGGGTGGTAAGATTGCCCTGTGTGAAGCTGACTACTCAATGTCTGGACACAACACACTGCTTGCCCCTTTAGTAATCCAAAAGAAGGGTACAGAAGATATAATTTTATTCATTCATTCATGCATTTATGTCTACATGATCTGAGATTCACGTTTTTGGATAGCACAATCTGGCATGAAAATATAATAAATAATTGAGTTTCAAACATTTTTTAAAATACTTAAATGGTATACTAAGCACACAGCTTACAGAAATAGCTTTATGTCCCATATGTGATATTTTTGTGGGGTGGGTGCTTAATGAGATGAAAGAATTACAGAAAACGTTTTTGTCAAAATGATTCTGTGAAGTGAGACTGTAGATCAAAGTTCACCACTGTCAAATATACAACTTGAGAACAAACTAAAGTGTGGCTATTAATCATGGTTTCTGGGGATTTGATGACACAGATTAAACTGCTGTAAAGAATACTGCTGTGCATCATGTTCTTGCAACTGTCATCAGCATTTCTGCCAAGTGTCCACAGATCATGAAGAAAAGCTGCTTAGCCTCTACTGGAGGTATCTCTCTCACTGAGCTTAGTCAAGAATACGAATAGCAGGTTTAAGCTCATGACACTACCCCAAAGATACTGTATCTGCAAAGCCACTGTTTTCTTAAGGAAGAAAAGACTTGTTGAGTTTGAGAGGCAAAGTGGAGGTGGAGCATGGAGCAAGTAAACTGAGATTAGATATCACATGATTTCATTTCCATTTCACTTTCCATCAGATAGCCTTTGCATATTCTGTAAAATATTTTAAATAATTCATAATGTACTATATTTCAAAGGTCTGAGGCTATGTAATTTTTTTTTTTTTGGAGATGGAGTCTCATTCTGTTGCCCAGGCTGGAGTTCGATGGCATGGTTCACTGCAACCTTCGTCTCCGGGGTTCAAGCAATTTTCCTGCCTTAGCTTCCCAAGTAGCTGGGACTACAGGCACATGCCACTACGCCCAGTTAATTTTTTGTATTTTAGTAGAGACAAGGTTTCACCATATTGCCCAAGCTGGTCTTGAACTCCTGAGCTCAGGCAATTTGCCCACCTCAGCCTCCCAAAATGCTAGGATTCCAAGCATGAGCCACCACACCCAGCCTCAGAGTATGTAATTTTAAAAATAATTTCAAGAATCTTTCAGACAGGAATTCTTTTTAGAGTTGATAACATCTTACAATCACTATAGGGCAGGCAGCATGCTCATTTAATTTTTATCACTTTCACTGAGTTCTTCGAACTGTTGGTACAACAAAGATTAAGTTTACGAAATAAAATGTCTTCAACAAGGCTACATTACAAAACAGACTACTGTGCACATAAGGCTTAGAAAGAAAAAGGTGAGGCATAAACTTGACATTAATGGAGGTCACAGAAGGAATGGTGTCAATTCCACATTTTCTTACAAAGCAACAACCAAGCACTTTATGGAACCAAACTAGTAGAAATCAACTTAAGTTTGAGACATATGCAAAAGGATAGACTATTACATGCCAAACAATGCAATGGAAAGCAGAAGATTTCATTCCTTTTAAGGCTGAATAATATTCTAATAATAATACAATGGAAAGCAGAAGTAATGAGGGACTGGTATGACTGATTACATGTTGCACAGGACTATGGAAAAGGCACTGTATCAAGCTTAATTGGCATCATATTTTCTTCATGGTTCAAAAACTAATGACAGATTTCAAAAAATTAAATATATAAGCAAATAGGAAAATGAAGAATTGTGAAAAAGCTTGTGCCTTCAGTTTTTTTTTGGGGGGGGGCTTCAGCGACCCATTTATAAGGGACTTCCTTTTCTTTTGGCAAATAAATTGTCCCTGTTCTCCTTTCTAACATACAGAGTGTTTGGATAAAGTTTACATACCTCCTTATATACTTTTTCAAATGATTAAGATATGTACCCCCATATCAAAAAAGCTGAAATTACATATATATACATACATACACATATATATGTGTGTGTGTGTGTATATATATATATATATATATGTAATTTCATCTCTTATAGGTGAGCAACATTTAAGTACAGAAATGATGGAATTTTCCTGTGTCCTCTTACCTATACATAAAATCAAATGACTCCCCTTTCTTTCTTACTTACGATCTAACAGAAATGACTATAGAGATTTACTAAAGAATGTTAATAGACTGTTTTGATTGCCAGGAGAATTAAATGCTACTTAGGTGAGGATCAAATACATACCACTTGCATTTGTGTATCAGGCTTCTGTTTTTAACATCATACTTTGACAGTCACACAAGGAACACTTCTCATGCTTTCTTGGTAAAGCAATGTCACAAATATACTTGGCTTGCAGCAATGAGGGACTCAAGAAAATACTGCTACTCATATTATATTAGGGGCAGCAATACAGTGTGTCCAGGACACAAGTGTACATTTTTATGTCTTGTTTAGAATCAAGAACTAGAAAGTGTTTCTTCCATCAATCACATTCTCCCGAGCTTTTGTTCTCATAGCACCATCAATGCCATTTTCATGGTAAACACTTATACTATGGTAATTATATATTTATTTGAGTTATTATTTGATTACGATCTGTTTCTGTCACTAGATGTGTGTAGAGAAGTTCTATGTCTTGTCCACCACAAAATTCCTGATGTCTAGAATAATACCTGATTCATAGTTGATGTTCAATGAATATTTGTTAAAGATTGGAAACATTAATAGACAATTGTGCGACTTACTTTCTGAAAGCCATGAAGATTATTTTAAGTCTCTCTTACTAAAATTAACACAGTGCTGATTGTACCAGCATTTTAACCATTTTAAGTGTACAGTGCTATTGAATTAAGTGCTTTCACATTGATATGCAGCTATCACCACCAACCATCTCCAGAACTTTCTCATCTTCCCAAACTGAAACTTTGTACTCATTAAACACTTACTCCCAGTTCCCCTCTCCTTCCAATCCCTGGCAACCACCATTCTACTTCGCATCTTTGTGAATTTGACTACTGTAGGTATATGGAAGAGGAATTATACAATGTGTGTCATTTTGTGCCTGACTTATTTCACTTAGCATAATGTTTTCAAAGCATATTTATGTAGTAATATGCCAGAATTTCATTCCTCTTAATGCTGAGTAATATTCTAAGGTATGTACAGCCATCACTCAGTGTCCCTGGGGGACTGGTTCCAGGACCCTCCTTGAATACCAAAATCCACAGATACTCAAGTCCCTTAGAAAAAAATGGTGTGGTATTTGCATAGAACCTATACACATTCTCCCACATACTTTAAATCATATCTAGTTTACATATAATACTTAATACAATGTATGTAAATAGTTGTTACACTGTACGGTTTAGGGAATAATGATAAGGGAAAAGGTCTACATGTTTAGTACAGATGCTAACATCCTTTTTTTTTTCCAAATATT